AGATGTGCGGCACGCACATTGCATTGTTTTCGATTGGAGAGAGGCGAGAATAAAGCAGTAAGGAAGTGTTGGCCAAACTTTCGGCAGATAGGTCTACTTTGGAGCGTAAGTGGGGTAGCGACCCATGGTGGAGCGTACATGAGAAGCTGGACGTTGGTGCACGCTCCATCGTGGCGTGTGAGTAGGATCTTAGGCTATGCAAGTCGTCCCTGAACTTATTGTGGTGAAAATGACCTCCCAGGAGGGAAGTAGCCTGTACCGCGGGACTTTGTTGTTGGTGTTGTGTTGTTGTAGTTGTTGTTGTTGTCGTCACATTAAACCGTATGTCAGTTGCTAAATGCCAAAATCTAGCAAAAGACTCTCAGCCCGTGGTCACGAAAGTGCTAGAGCCATCTGAGGATCTAAAGAACACGCACACATCTGACGAGAAAAAGGTATGCAAGAGCTCGAAGAGGTACACCTAATAATCCCTGCACCACCGTATGCGTGCCCAAAAACTGAACTGCACGTCCGTCCCACCGTTCGACTACAGNTATGACAGGGAGAGACTGCACTGCCTAGCAAGGGGACAAATAGGCAGAGAACGTGAACACTTCCGGGTGAAATTGAACAAGGGAGACAGCGAAGAGTGCTTGGGGGTTGACATCGAGAAGCTGTCGAACTAAGTCAGGAAGTTTGGATGGAGGGTTTGCATCGCGAACATGATAGAAACAGAGAAGGTAAGGAGACAAGAGGCGAGGGCGACGGAGGCGAAGAAAGGACCGAGCGGGGGAGGCGAGTAGGCAAGTCAGAAGAACGCCGAGAAGGAGCGGAAGGCGAACGATGGTGTGCGCAAAATCTCTAATAGGGAAAAGCGCAAGCTGAGAGTCGGGTCGTGGAACGTGTGCGGATTCGCAAGGAGTGAGCGCAAGCGGTTGGAAATAGTGGACCAAGTAGAACAAAGCGATCTAGATGTAGTGGGGATCCAAGAGACGTGGGAATTGAAGGATGGGGACGTGGAAAATAAACTAGGGAAATACCGGTGCGTAGCAAAGGCAAGAAAGGGCTTAGACCCGAAGAAAAGGGGGGAGGGAGGAGTCGGATTCCTGGTCAAGGAACACTTGTTTGACGTGGTGGAAGTAGTGGTGAAAACGGAGTTCGAG